CTAATAATATATATTATATATTATATATTAGGGCCTTAATTAAGTGGTGCAAGTTGACTAGGCTTATTAAGTGGTCTGGTTGGACTTAATAACTAGTAGTTGTTAGTCAACCAAACTCTGTGCCTAATATAACCTGGATTGATGGGATACAGGATTATGGATTAGATAGCACATTCAGTTACGGTACTCAGACCGCTCAGTAGACACCAATACACCATCTAGGGTTCTGAGTCAGGTCTGAGGCAAAACATGGCTGACGGTCTACCGTTAAGAGGCAACACAACAGGAACATCAACTATGGCTAGAGATCAACACGGCTACGCTTCCGCTATCATACGAGGTCAGGTTTCTCGTATACTGTTATTCATTATAGTTAGACTATTGTATATCTAACATTTGGTATCAGAGCCTTTATAATCTCTGCCTGGTTGGTTATTTTGCCTTAATCAACGACGTTTAATTTATTGTTATATACATCGAGTATTGTATCTATTTTGCTGCCCAACTTTCAATCATAATCTTTTAAGTCTTCAAAATATGCATACAGAATATGTCAATTTGGTTTTGATATAATTAAGCAATCTGTTATGTATATTTTGGAATTTGGATAGATTATTTGTAATTGATTGTTGTACTGGTAGAATTATCTATGATTGTTTGAACTACTGAATCAACATTAAGCATGTTCATCTCCTACTGCCATGTTTTATCAATGAGGCGGGCGACGGTGGATGGATGGAGAGACGGTGGAAAATTTAATATATATAAAAAATAAAAATAAAAAAAATCCAGTTCTTCTGTTTTTATTTGTTTTCCCTTCCGTCGGTTTTTTCCCCTCACCGGCATTAAGGATGTTGCCGGTGTGTTCTCCCGTCTCCGTCGCCATTCCTCGTCCAAAACATGTGGTCGTCTGCGGTTGGTCTGCGTTGCCACTCAGTTTTTCTGGGAGGCGTTAGTTGTTGGGGGGAATGCAATCTGAGCGAATGGCTTGCTTGCTGCTGCTTCTATTCTTTCCTTCTCTCAACGGCGCCGCAGGTGGGTTATTTGTGATTAAGGAGATGAAGTTGATGGGAGGTAAAGGCTTGGGTCGTGGTTAGACCTGGACCATTTATTCTGATATTAGGTCTATTTTGGATTTGGGCCTATTTAATTTTTCTTCCATGATTCTCTTATTTCATTTGGGTCTTTAGTTTATTCCCCAAATGAACTCTTTTAATTCATAGACTATATATTAAATTATCATTCACTTTGGAGCAAAATATTAAGTTTTAATTTGCTATTTGAATTTTAATTTAATATTAAGGTGTAAATTAAATTGCCTGAATTATCGCAATTTATTTAGAATTTATGAATTAATAATATGTGGTCTAATGGTACCCGGGTTGGACTTCCATTTGGAAGATTATAAGTTCGAGCCTCAGTGGAGGCGTTATTGGTTCTTTGTGTTTCAGTAGGTTGAGAAAGTATATGAACAGATACTACAATGTAATAGAGCCAGTAACTTTCAAAAAAAAAAAAAAAATATTCATATGCAAATCCAAGCATGCTACGTATATTCATAAATTATTGTTATAATTATACATTCATAATAGCATGCATTAAGGTTGGATTTAACACATTATTAACTCATAAATTCATTATCAACTATTGTTCAATTTTGGACCCTTATGTCAATTTTGGACATTATGACTTACTAAAGCAGCTTGTTTGGTTTCCCTTTAATTTGACATATTTTAATTTTATGTGTCTCTGGGACTTTAGAACCTATTTTGAACAAGCTATTTGGGACCTATCTTGGGTCATTAAAGTATGGATCCCACCATTTTGATTGATATTTTAAATAATAATTATAGCTCTTTTTTATTATAACATGTTTATTCACTTTTAATTATTAATAACTACCATATTTTGGTATTAATCGTTGGCAATAATATTAAGTTTGGGTCTACTTCAGTACTAGACCATTTATCATTCATGTTATAATTCACTTAGGCCATTGAGGTTTATGAGCCTAATTTGAGTAATTAAGTGCTATAATTATCGTCTTGATCTATTTTGAGACATTAAGGATTAAGGATTTAATTGTTATTTTGGCCATTAAGAATTACAAACTATTGTTTAAGTTGATTAATTTTTAATCTATCAATAGTTTCAGGGCCTTAATAATAATATTAAGTCTTTAATTTATGGCAAAAGCAATATAATTAGTATATTGCTAGAATAATGGTAATTTGGTTATTACCTAACTTCAGTCTCCCTAAGTATCATAATAGTCATGATTAATTATTATGTGGTAAAATTGAGATTAAGTATTTGACATCCCTTAATTACAGTTTTGCCACTTATTAAGTTAAATTTGGCATTATTAATTACTGTTATTAAGTTTAGGGGCTAATCTCATTTTATTACTTTCCATAATAATTATTAATGGTAATCTGCTATATTTGGTACATTGGTAAGATTACCACTTCATTTTACATGACTATTAGTGTTGGTAATTAAGTCCTACCAATAAATTTTTTTTTTAAATGTACCATTGGACGCTGCATCGAGGCTACTGACACCGACAGTGAAGATGGGAGAATTCTGGAATTTTTCTTCGGATCATCATCGTTGTTAGCGCAATGGGCAAATGCGGTTTGCATCACTAAGGTTAGTCATTAATTATCTTTTATGCTTGTTATTGATAATTAGTGCTACAGTTACAGTTAACCGCTAATTTGGACTAGTCACATATTTTATCTTTAGAAAATTGAAACATTAAAAGTGCATTACCATACTTTAATTTGTCATTACTAATGTTAATAGTGATTATAATGTTACTTATTGCTATTAATATTAATTAATGATAACATTAATATTGTTATGGTATTCAGATATGCATCTTAAACTATTTCCAAATAAATTTATGTGACAATACTCCAGTTCAGAAAATAATTTTCTGGACATTAATATTTTTCGGACTTCAAATTTTATTAAGTTTTCAAAATTTTATCCGAAAACGTTTATAAATGTTAGCGGTTTTAACCATTGTTTTTTCATATTTAGTCTCCTACTTAATGTGATAATATTATTATGGCTATTTATTGCTATTTTGGTTATTTGCAATTTTGCCATTAATAATAATAATAATATTATCAACTGGTTATGGAGAGTGATTTTGAATCAATTTAGTAATTTTGAAAAAACATGTTTGCTAGGCAATTGACTATTGCCCTTAATTCCATAATTCATTTAGTTTTTTGAATTATGATTGCCCATATTTGGTTAAGTATGAATAAATGAATATTTTGTTTAAATTCATATCCTTTAGTTGGTTCATACTCTTTAGATTGTTTTATGCATTCGATCACATTAAGTGCATAATATTAAGTTTAATTATGCAATTAGGGTTTGTGAGATTTTGATTTACAAATTATAGCATATCCTTTTGGTTTGATATTGTTTGAATTTGTAAATTCAGTTATTTCTCATAAATTTGATCTTTATGCATTAAAATATTTTCCCATGGGCTTACAGTTTAAAAATTTTAAAGTATATATTCAGTACATTATTATTCAAAATGTTAGGTCTCTTTTGGTTTGGACTCATCGGTATTTGAATATTAAGTTTATACTTTAAAATCTCATATTGTAAATTGCTTTAAGTTATGCAATTTATTTGGAATATATGAGTTTAATGTTTAATTTTATGCATATTCGTCCTAAGCATAATATTATGTTTTAAATTATGCAATTTTATTATGCCTTTATCAATGCATAATTTTAAGATGGAATTATATTAGTTCCTATTTAAGTTGGACTTATGCATAAACTTTAGGTGCGGTAGTGCCTGAATTTAAGCACGTTTAGTCCGCTATTTTTAGTTCACCATTTAAGCTTTAATCATAGGTGAACCCTACAGTTTTCTGGTGTATACCATACAGTTTACTGGTTTATACCCCAAACAGTTATACATTAAGTATATATGAATCGGTGAGGCATACTAGTTTTAATGGCCATGAATTAAGAACATCTTGTGCCATTAGTCTCCTTAAATTGATACTCTATTTAAGGAATTGGTTTTCAGTGAGACTTAGTCTCTAACCGCCTTTCCTTGGAGTATATTTAGATTTTCCCATCACAATCTGGTATAATCTGTTTGCCAAAATTTTAAGTATTTCTTGCCAATGTGATTTGATTTCGGTTCATTAAAGAATAGCCAAAGCATCTTTAATTTACTGAAGTCTCTTAAGTTTTCAATCTTGGTTAATTAAGAAAATGCTACAGCGTATTCAGCTACCTAAGATTATTAAGTTTTAATCACATAAAGTTTAAGCAAGAATTTGATAAGTGTCTAGTGATCTTATAATTTTAATTTGGTTTTGGAGTAGCCACAGCATCCTTAATCTGTTAAAATTATATATTAAGCGGTTTATTTTGATCACATAAAGTTTTGGACATATCGTTTGTGGTTAATTGTATGTCATATGATGGAATTTAGCCCACAGGCAATTTCGTTATATTTGTATAATTAATCAGGATGAAATACTAGACTACGGTCATAATTTAGCCCACAGGCAATTATGTATCGGAATGTAGTTTAGTAGTTTTATCAGTGATGATAGAAATAAATCAATTTATTTACTTTATGGTTATTTGTAAATAATTTCCAATTCTATCATGAAGTTTAATTTTATGATGAAAATTTAGGTCATATTTCTTAATTTGCCCACAGGGATTAAGAAAAGGAACATGATCTCTTAAGTTTTTTATCATAATGATAGTAATGAATCTTATTGACTAAAACTTTAGCCTACAGGCAAGTTTTATGTCATTTGATTCTTCAACTCATTTGATAATGGTTTCATCATAAATAACATTTTTCAGTTGGATCTAATTGAGTAAAATTTTAGCCCACAGGCAAGTTTTATGTCACTAGATTCTTCTGGCTCTTTAGTAATTGTGAAAAATATTATCATAAGGGTTTCTTAATTGGATTTAATAGAATTAAAACTTTAGCCCAAAGGCAAGTTTTATGTCAATAAATCCCACCACCCATTAGATGATAATTTTATCACAATTTCTTAGAGTTATAAATTCAGTTCAATTATAATTCTAAGTTTCATGGTTTGCATTGGCAAAACATGTATTCAGTCACTTCCCAAAATTTAGCAACTTTTATTAATTGATCCACGGATCTTGCTTGGTTTTTCGGACTAACTGTAGTAAGTTACGTGATTTGACATACATCTTTCAATTTTGGTCCATTGAGTATTAGTGGTGTGTTAATTGCAGCACTTGACTATTAAAACTGTTAATGTAGTACCTTGACTATGCAATTTTTATCAATTTTGGTCACACCGGCCAAATTAATGGCGAATTTCCACTGAAAAAATGTTAGTCAAACATTTCTCCGATTTGGCAGGGGCAAATAAGACATTTCATGTTGCTAATATGGTTGGTCTGTCCGGGTTGTTGACCATGAAGCTACCCGACCCGAATTAATTGGAATATAACCGCTCAACATCAATTGACTTCACATAAATTAACTGAACCAAAAAAAAAAAAAAAAAAAAATTAGGAACTAAGAATTCACCAGTCAAAACAATACCTTTAACATCGTTTCTCCTGGCAGCCTCCGTGAACCCATGAATTACTACAACACAATCAAATTTCACAGTTTAGTTTCATCTATCCAAATCCAGCGCATACGCACACTAGCCAGCAACGGAGCGACGATGGTCGAGACCTGCTACGGGTGGCGACCAAAAGCGAGATTTTCTTCTTTACACGGTCGTCGGTCGAGTCCGGCTAACGGAGATTGAAACCGGAAAAATTAAACTACGGTAGGTAGGTAAAATTTTAATAGTTTTGAAAATAAATCAAAATTATGCTAAGGCTGAAAGGCATAATCAAAATTAACTATTGTAGAATCATCATGATGTTCTTCAATGGCACGAGCTTCAGATTTAATTTCAATTCAGCAAGGGTCAGATTACCGGAAAGGCCTAAGCATCTTCAATTCAGCAATGGTAAGTCTGTCATTCCATCTCCATCAAGAAAGTAACATCTCAAGTGGTTAATTATTAGCTTCAGATTTAATTTCCCCAATAATATAATATATATAATGTTACTTACTCATTTGCAGGAAGCTAGACGAAGGAGATATATAAGACTCTGTATGTTCTTCCACCAGATCAGATAGAAGAACACCAACGTGATTGGTCTTCAGATCTGAATAAGGCAGTCGGCGATGACGGTGACAAAACGGAAAATTTTATAGTTAATCAAAGCATAGGAGAGGAGTAAAAAGCAGATCAGAGCTGCCTAGACAGATCGTTTTGAATTGGGGTCGGGTAGCTTCATGGTCAACAACCCGGACAGACCAACCATATTAGCAACGTGAAATGTCTTATTTGTCCCTGCCAAATCGGAGAAATGTTTGACTAACATTTTTCCGGTGGAAATTCGCCATTAATTTGGCCGGCGTGACCAAAATTGATAGAAATTGCATAGTCAAGGTACTACATTAACAGTTTTAATAATCAAGTGCTGCAATTAACACACCACTAATAGTCAATGGACCAAAATTGAAATTTTCTCTAAAATGTATCTTTTGAGCCAAATTCTAACTTGGTTTTGGAAGGTGTATTTTTATTTTAGTATGTCCAACTATGGTGGGGAATTATATCTTCATTATTTAGTTGGACTTTAATTGGAACCAAAAATTGATTATTTAGTATGTCCAACTAATGGTGGGGAATTATGTCTTCATTTGTTAGTTGGTCAATAAATCAATTATGAGTATGTATATTATTAATTTCATTTTATTAATTTCGCTGAAGAATGTTTTAATCAGTGGGAGTGATCATTTAGAAAAAGATCATTAAGATACTCCACTAAAGCTTATGGATTTAATTGGCTACATACGTTTCAAATTGGATTGTATGTTACACAATAAGTCCATAAGATTCCACAAGTATTAATCTTGTATTTGTTCATATAAATTCATAAGTTCAAATTATTGAACATTCGGTTGTGCAACATATTTATGAAAATGTTGCAACAATATTATGAAATTTATTAGAACAAAAGCATTTAACTTGTGGGGCACTGTCATTTAATAAATTCTTCAATGATTAATAGAGTCTTTAGTTTCTTCAAAATTGATCCTGGGCCATTTCAGTTGTAAGGCTCAAAACAATTTTGTGGGACGTATAAGTAAGACTCATTATGTTCAGTTCATTTAGAGTGGACGTTGAAGTTATTTGGGAAGTTGTGGTGTATGATTAAGATTCCAAATTCATGGACTTAGACCTTTGGTTTATTGTCTAAGTTATTGGAATGCTTCTGTGACTTGACTATCTTTTGGCTATTTTTGATGAGTGGGAGTGACAGACGTGTCAACTCCAAGCTCTTAGCTGTTAGAAATAGTACTTAAAGTTAACTTATAAAGAAGTCATGGAATATAGTTAGCATTATGCTAACATTAAGAGATCTCTACTTAAGGCATGATCATAAAGTTTTAGAGATCATACAGTGTACTCTTTTGTACAATTTGGATGCGTTTTCTCCTTCAGTTGTGCACATAATGTATTTTGAGAAACATCCCTTAAGGTACCGAGAATAAACATAGGGTTTGTTCATAAAGGACCTAAGTTGGAGATTAAAATGCATGTGACCATAATGGATACTACTCTGATTAAATAGAGGACGTATCACTATGATTCGTGTGTTTTGTTCTTTGATGATGGTTGTGCTAGTACTTGCACCAAGTGGGAGAATGTAAGATTTTCCCTAATAATATATATTATATATTATATATTAGGGCCTTAATTAAGTGGTGCAAGTTGACTAGGCTTATTAAGTGGTCTGGTTGGACTTAATAACTAGTAGTTGTTAGTCAACCAAACTCTGTGCCTAATATAACCTGGATTGATGGGATACAGGATTATGGATTAGATAGCACATTCAGTTACGGTACTCAGACCGCTCAGTAGACACCAATACACCATCTAGGGTTCTGAGTTAGGTCTGAGGCAAAACATGGCTGACGGCCTACCGTTAAGAGGCAACACAACAGGAACATCAACTATGGCTGGAGATCAACACGGCTACGCTTCCGCTATCATACGAGGTCAGGTTTCTCGTATACTGTTATTCATTATAGTTAGACTATTGTATATCTAACAATGTGTTCCTAAGTTTTTCTGAGTTTTTTGTACTGTGGTTTAATTATGGCATGTTGCGTGTGATTGTGCATGTGGGATCATTGTCTTTGTTCTGTAATTCGTTTTTAAGGGGTTGGAGTGTTTTGGTTGGAAGCATTTTGTTGTTTATGTTTGAGGGTTCAAGTTGCATGCAGTGCTCCGGTTGTCGGTCATGTTTGTATTTTTTTTTTTCCCGCCGGTGTGTGCATGTATGGTGTCCGCCGTGTGCATATCCGTGTTTTCACCCTGTGTTCATGTGTACATAGTATTTAATCTAACGTGTACATTACCGTATTCTGTCGTCCTCACATGTGTCCTCGCATCCCTATTACCCTTATTTTTGTGTTTTTTTTAAAAAAATTTATACGTTAGTTTTCCAGTAGTTTTGTGGCGGATTAGATTTCCGTATGATTTCCAGGTGGTGGCATTATTTGGTTGTTATAAAGTGCATATGGTTGTTAAATTATGTGCACACAGTGGTTTTCGGTTGCTACTATTTTTATTATTTCTCAATCGTCGGTGTTTTTAAAATTTTCCCTTCACCATTTGGCAGTGTCGCTTTGTGGTGATGAAGTTTCTGCGAGTGATAGTCGTGGGTGCGTCATGGATATTTCTCCAGGGAAAACGAATTATTGGGTGCCGGTGTGTGACAATGCGATCAAGCCATTCGTTGGTCAATGGTTTAGCAAGTTGGACGATGGTGTTGAGTTCTATATCCGCTATGCACGTACTGTTGGGTTTAATGTTCGTCGTGGCTCGGATTCAAAGAATAGTTGTGGGGAGGTATTGAGGAAGTATTTATTGTGTTCTCGAGAAGGATTTAAGCAGCCTGCTAAGGAGTTGTGTTCGGGTGGTGACGTGGTTAATGACCCCTCAATATCAAAGAAAAGGCGTCGGGTTACGAATAGGGTTGGTTGTAATGCGAAGATTATTTTCAAGCTTAAGGGGTATGGGGGTTATTCTGTGTTCTATTTGGAGGAACGACACACACATTGTTTGTACTCGGAGGCATCCAAGCCATTTATGAGGATTAATCGCAAGTTGGATCTTGGGCATCAAATATTTGTCGCTAATTGTGCGAAGGCAAATATTGGTTCTATCAAATCGTGGAAGCTTTACAGGAAAATGGTTGGAGATTATACTGATGTTGGGGCCACCGGTGTAGACTTTCAGAATTTTAAGCGTGATTTAATGGCATACATTCGCGGCGGCGATGCACAATTGATTGTTGAGAAGTTCCTTCATAAAAAAGAGTTATGGTCTTCATTTTTCTTTGACTATGATGTGGATGAGTATGATCAGCTTTCACGTGTGTTTTGGGCAGACCCAGTAGCACGACGGAATTTTGCGTGCTTTGGGGATGTGGTTTCTTTTGATGCAACGTATCGGACGAACATGTATGTGCATCTGTACTCGTTGGCGTGTGCATCTGTGTTTTGTTGGTAGTTTGTTATGAATACCTTTTTACATACATGTATGCATTCTGATTTTTTTCCCCTTTCTTATATTTTTGTAGGTATAAGCTTGTGTTTGTGCCATTTACCGGCATTGATAATCACAAGAAATCAGTCACGTTTGCCGCGGGGTTGATTGCGAAGAAAGATGTTGAGTCCTATGTCTGGTTGCTTGATAATTTCAAACGAGCTATGGGCCACGAGCCAACATACATTCTCACCGATCAAGATCCAGCCATGCGGGTGGCTATCCCCACAGTGTTCAATTCTGCACGTCATCGCTTCTGCATGTGGCATATCATGTCAAAGGTTGGTGACAAGGTGGGTTCAGTGGTTGCCAAGGATCAGTCGTTTCGCCGTGCTCTTAATGATGTTGTTTGGGACTAGTCGATAACAATAGAGGAGTTTGAATCTAAATGGCTTGGTGTTATGGAGGCCTATGGTCTCAGTGAGCATAGGTGGTTCCGCCAGATGTTTGATTTACGTGCATTTTGGATTCCAGCTTTTTTTCAAGACTTGCCTATGTGTAGTTTGTTGCGAACGACTTCCCGGTCGGAATCGCAGAATAGTTCATTTGGGGGTTGCACTAATTGTCATGCGAGCTTAGTGGAGTTTTTCTTTCATTTTGAAGGTGCTATTGATTGCCAAAGGCATAAGCAGGCTAAGCTCAATGCGGCATGTGAGGGCCATTTGCCAGTGGTGAAGACGCCTTTGGCAATTGAGCGATATGCAGCTGCTGTTTATACTATTACTGTATTCTATGAGGTGCAGGTAGAGATTGTGGCTGGGTGTTTTGATTGTTCTGTTGTGTCTTCCGTTGTTGATGGTGTCTTAAAACGTGTTGGAGTAGAAGACACATATGGTAATGTGTATATTGTTGTATATAATCCAACCGAAACTACAGCAGATTATTCCTGTCGGATGTTTCAGCGTGTGGGCTTGTTGTGTAGGCATATATTTCTTGTCTTCAAGGATGCTCGTTTGGATTCTATTCTGCCTTGCTACTTGGTTTCTCGGTGGACACGTGATGCCTACAAGCATCCAATTTATGATATAGAAGGGGTTCATGATGATGTTGTTGTAGGTGTGGCCAATAACAGGGGTGATTCGAAGCAGGTTTGGAATGATTTTTACAGTTGTGTTGCTCTTGCTGGGCATAGCTCGGATTTGTATTATGGAGTTGTCCCGTGTTTTGAAGGAGTTGAAACTGTCATTTGTCAATGCCGACACTAGTATTGGTACGTCCGTTGGTAAGTCTGGTGTTGTTCAAGCGTTTGGTGGTGTGATCAGGTCTCCTAATATTCTTGTCCACCCACCAACCGTTGCTAAGAATAAGGGTTCTGGGAAGCGGTTCAAATCAGCCAAAGAGCTTGCTGCAGAGAGAGCTGCAAAGTCTACACGAGAGTGCAAGACTTGTCACAAATATGATGGGCATGACAGTCGTAATTGCCCGCTTAAAGACTTGTTTATAAAATAATTTGTATGACAACCGTGCGGTATGATGGACATCATCACGTGGGCATTTAGAAATTGTTTTGGATTTATATTATTTTACGCAGTTTAAGTACGTACATTGGCTGTAATTAAGTTAATCTGGCTACTAGTATATACTTGTCTTCTTCTTTTTTTTTTTCCTACAATGAATATACTGATGTTTTTTCAATTGGTGTCACTGGGTGTGCTCTGTAGTTTTTGGTTGTGTGCCGTTAAGCAGTCGTGCATTTCAAATCAGTGAGGAGTGCACATTGCTACTCACGCTGTCAACTTTTAGTGATTATAATTAATTTAATCTGGCTACTAGTTTATGCTAATCTGGTTTTTTCTTTTTTTTTCCTACAATGAATATTGTTAGAATATGTTGGCATACGTTTGGTTTGCCATGCGTGTGCACCTAAGGTATTCAATGCTTGCATGTTCAAATGCATTGAGCTTATTTCCAGTACGTGGAGTGTGCACTTCAGAAGCCTAGTGCGTTCGATTTTGAGTGATGCTTTATTACGTGTGGAAGTGTTCACCATAAGGGTATGCGTGTGTGTCTGTGTGCCATTGATAGTCCTAGGGTGTGCACTCAGCGCTAATGGGGTTGCCCGTCGTCACAGCCGCAAATGTCTATTCTACTAGTCGGCCTTTATTCTTTACTGCTGTTTTTTCAATTGGTACCGGTGGTGTGTGCTCTTTAGTTTTTGGCTGTGTGCCATTAAGCAGTCGTGCATTTCAAATCAGTGAGAAGTGCACATTGCTATTCGCGCTATCAACTTTTATTGGTTTGCATTGTATACCATGCCTGAACGTTGTCTGGTAATGATGCAATGTAGCAAAAATATGTGTGTACTATAAGCTGTTTCAAAAATACAGATATGAAGTAACATGTGCACCACTACATTCAGTATGCTCAAAAAACCCATAACTAAGTCAACATAATTAACTATTTCGTAATAGATTGGCTGGTTCTAGTTCGCTCATATTCTTAATCTAATCCCAAAAAATAAATCACTGTCCACCGTTGCTCATTGTCTCACCTCATGTCAGTTGTGGTGCGTCACATAATTGCGGAATAGTCCATTCTGGAAATCAATTGCACGTTTGATGTTTTCAGTTCGGTGGTTGTTGAACTCTGACATTAGGATTTCGCGCATGTATATCATTCTCAGGTTGCGTATATATGAAAGATCCCCTTTTTCAGTCCACACTTCCATGTCGAGTAAGTCTGGCCCACAAATGTTTCCATGTGTCGCATGGCGTAAATACCGCAGTCAATTGTGTTTTTTGTCTCTCCATGGCATTTGCATTCTGGTTGGAATGATTCTTCCGATGTCGGCACCCTTTTTAATTGAGACTTTGTCGTCTATGAATGTGGCTAGTAGGTCTGTCTGCTCGTATTAGTGTGGATAACAACCCGTTAAAGTTTGTTTGAAAGTTGGATATGTTGTTGTCAATGTAGAAAGTATGGTGGGGTATGCTTACCAAGTCCTCTGGGATCTTCAAGTACTTTTTCTCATGGCACTGTGTGTGCACTTTTCTATCTCATCGTGTGCCATGAATTATAAGGGCAACAGTCCTAATACACATAATATTATTAAAACACATGCTGATGCTGTGTGCATCTATGCTTTGCCCTGTGTGCACTTCTGGGTGCACTCATGTGTAGTGGTGCCCCTATATATGATACCGTTTGTGCACTGGTCATAGTACCCGTGTGCCATCAGCTTAACTTTGAATAATGGTAGTGCACATACCTTCCCCCCCCCCCCCCCCCACTTGTTTGGTGAGAATTTGCAGCATCTTCCGGTGGATCATCATCTACTCTCTCTTCACCTTCCGGATCAGCGGGTAATAACTCTCCTTGGCCGAACCCCCCTAGTCGTATCTCTTTAAATTCCTGATCTCTCATGTGTCTACATGTCCATCCTTTGATGGCTGGTCTTTGACAGGGTACTGCGTTGCCAACAAACTTCACACGATCCATATACAACACCTGCATTTTTTTAAAAATTATTCACATCTCCCTTGCACATTTTGGTTCTACTACAAGTCTACAACATTGTTCCCCGTCGTCGTTTTGCCCGTATTTTCGATCCAGACATAGCTTTGGGACGTTGGTAGTGCGTTACGCCGTATGGTGGTTTCTTCTTTGCTGGTTTCTCGGGATCCGACGTATGTGGACTGGTCACACGTGGTAGAGTGAGAGTCAGCTTGTGAATCTGATGTTGAACAACGCGTGAGCACCCTTGGACCAAATTGCCCTTTAAAAGATTATTTTGAACATTAATGCTCGCAAATATGCCGTGCTATATTAAAATCTATACATCTAATCTCAACCCTAGGTCCCTCTAAACGAATGGCTATGATTAAGTTTTATTTCTCATCTGCCATGCTTGTCTCATATGAAGCCTACCCTATATCTATATATATATATTATATATTGTTCCAAATGATTAAATTTTTATATATTATATATTCTCTTCTTATTATATTATACTGTGCATCGCACGGCTACAAATACTAGTATACCTAATAACCCTAGTCTTCTTAAATCTAAATTTCTAATTACAACGCCACCTCCACCTCCGCCTCTCCCAGTCTCGCCTACTCCCACCGGCCACCTCTCCTAGTCTCGGAGTCTGTCGCCGATAGACGGTCTCTCCGGTCTCGCTACAGGAGCGGTCTCTCCGGTCTCGCTACAGGAGTCAAGTCCTCTCCAGTCTCGCCTGCCTACCGGAGTCTGTCGCCGATAGACGGTCTTGCTGAGTCACTGATAGCCCCTCTCGCTGGTCGGCCCTCAAACAGTTATATATACAATTTTGCGAGCACGCATAGCAGCATAGGAGACATGGCGGAGATGGCTGCTTCAACACCCTGCCAAATCGACCTCGGAAATCTCATGGCTTACAACCCACATCACAGCTTTCCAACTCCTCCTAATTCCAGGTTGTGTTTTCCTACACCTACCCACTTTATATCCGTATGAACAATACTAACAATACTGGAAACTGGAAACGATGTTGGACGTTATTTGAAAATGTTTTTTTTATTTTTTTATTTTAAAGTTCTGTTTCAGTTCATCTTTTGCGTCATTTATAGGTCTGAAAATAAGTTTTTTCTCCTTTTAGTTCTGGTTTTTTCCCCTTTTGGTTCTGGAACAAATTATAGGGAAATATTTATGTTTGCTAAAACTTGTTGTTGAGTAATATTTTTGACTTTTGTAGTATTACAGAGAATTTGTTCAGAGTAAATTGTTTAGCATTATGTCATTCTTTAACACTTTCAGCCCTTACATATTATGATATGAAGTTCAAGCTGAGTTAATGAATTGAGATTAAAGTTAGTAAATGAACTTAATAATGTATGCTTAGTTGCTCACTAAGGTGTTTAATGCAGGGAGGAATTAGCATGGGAGTGCTTGCAGGACGGAACCAAATTAGTACAAGCAGTAGCAGATGCACTTTTCAACCTACCTTCAACTGAAGGCCTGGATGGCCCAATTGTCAAATTGCCTCCACCCTCAACAAGATTGCCAAGAGAGAAGCCTGTATGCTATTTAATCTTCTTCCATAAGAAAATTTTCCATACAAGCTAGTTTTTACTTGAATCGTGTTTGGATGTCTACTGTATTTTTGAAGTATATAGCGAAATGAAACATCCATGTTTCTAGAGCACCGAAGATACATAGCATTTGCTTATATGTTTTACTAATTATGAACAACTGTTTTTTTTTTTTTTAAATTACTTTTGAGCTCTACTGGCTTCTCTGTATTCTTGTTGGCCTTTCTCTTTCTGAATATATATATATATATATATATATATATATATATATATATATATATTTATCTAGACTATAAACACTTCTTATCTGGGTAACACATGCCCAGACCATGTTTGAGTGACTGAGCTGTTGTTGTTGCATAGTCTTGTCTTTGGTTTTATTGTTTATCTTTAGTTTTTAGCTAGGCATTGAACACTTCTTATTTTAAAACACAAATAGATGATTAGCACTCTGGTTGTTTTATGTTGGTATTGTTGGATTTGGTCTGATCCTGCAATCTAATGAATTTCATTTTCTATATATAATTATATGATCGAAAACTCTCTCCTTTTGATTTCAGCTCCCAAAGCCTAAGCCCCCAACAAAATGGGAGTTGTTTGCCAAGAAGAAAGGTTGACATTAAAATTAAAACTGCTACACATGTTGCAGGATTTAATTTTAAGCTTGATAAACTAACGAAGTAGTTATTTACTACTTCCATCCCAATTTCTCCCAGGTATTCAAAACCGCAAGAAAGACAAGATTCTTTTTGATGAACAGACGGGTACATGGAAGCGCCGACATGGATATGATCGCGTGAATGATGACAATGATATACCAATTATTGAGGCAAAGGAAACTGATGGTACGTAAGGCTTTCAAAATTGTTACTGCCTTGGTTTAAATGCATTGACAATGATGGATTAAAATATCTTATGAAATATTGATGTAACCTGTAAGTAGTTGTAATACTATTTATTTAAATGTAAAATGAGATGTAAATCTATTGAGTAAAATTTTGTGCCTTGTGGTACTTGTGATGGTAAGTAATTGAGTTCATTGGATTGTGCTGAATAAGGATAAGGTAAAGCTTACCTATGAGGGGGTAGGGATGTTAATTATACTTTCTGCCTATAAAAAATGAAAATGGTAACAATTGTACTTAACTATTTATATTTGTTTTATTTTTCCAATAAACTCAATAACACTATTATTTTTCTTCCCTCCCTCCATTGGCAGGTTTTCACCCACGAAAGTCTTCTCCCCTTCCCCCCTCATGCTTAATTTCATATCTTCTCTTTGTTTTGCAAAGAAATTGATAGCAAATGGACTATGGACCTTTCCTTCACTATTTTAATATTATCCTAATTATCATATTTGTTTCTTTTCCAGCACCTGGAGAAGATCCTTTTGCCAAGAGAAAGGAAGAAAAGAAGAAGAGAGTTGATAAGCAAGAGAAAAATAGATTGCAAAACTTGAAACAGGCTGCAAAAGTTGGTGCAGTGCCAAGGTCTCACTCTTTAGCCTTTTGGTGTTTCATTTATTTCTTTTACTTTTATCAACTTGGTATGCGCTGTCTTAGCTTGTGGTGGCTCTTTACCCTTGTTTCCTCATTGACATCTTATGCCCTCTTATAGTTTGTGGTGGCTCTTTCTTTTCTTGTTCCCTTTGCTTCCCTTTTTTCACCCTATGCCTTTGTTACTTTGTATGGCATATTGATATGTACATCTCTTGATGGTATTCTCTTGTTCTTAGTATACCTAAATCTATTAAAAGTATGGATTCTCAGTGTCCTGCCTCAATATCTAATTAAGTTACTGCTTTGCAGCCATATTCAGCTTGCTGCCACTTCATTACCTATAACAGGGACACAAGCTGCACCTAGAAAAGTTAGTAAGGGTGAACTAGGACATGTTGCTGGAATGGCAGCAACTGCCACAGCTAGTGGTGGAAAGTTCGACAAGAAGTTGGCCGGAGAAAAACCCCCAAAACATGAAAAGAAATATCGGAAGGTTTTTAATATGACCTTTTTATTCTCTTTGTCGTTATGTTGCCAAGTTTTTTTGGCTGTGTATTGAATTCACCTGTTGTTTGTTTGCCTCTAGTTTCTACCAGTTGCAGAAGGATCAGGAATGGGTTCATTAGAAAGACAGCAAACTGATAAAGTTCTGAACAAACTAATATCAAAGAATTCACATGACATACTCAATGTTAACAAGGTCCATCTATTCTTCATTTTTCTCCTTTCTAATAAGTCCTGTGAGATCTAAGGTATAATTTTGGTTGCAAAATTCATGTCTGATTTTTTTTTTTTTTGGGTTTTTGGTTTGTTTGCAATGGGATGCAGGCTGTGACCATGTTCAATGTGAAAAAGGAGAAGGGAAGGAGGAACCGTGAAGGAAAGTCTTCAACACCAAACAAGTTGAAACCAAGGGGCAAACCTCTTAAGAAAACCTTCAAAAAGGGATCTTCAAAAGCACCGAAATCCAAGTGAATTCCATCTTAACAATCACTGAATGAGTGAAATTTTGGTATTCAGCAGTAGCTGGTACTGCAATAGAGAGATACCCCCATCCTTCCTACCCCTTTTTTGATTAAAAAAAAAAAAATAGTAGGTAGATAAGCTGAAACAAATGAAAAAGACAAAAATGTGGGGTTATACATGGAGGTTGAAATGTGGTGGCCAATGCACCAAAATGAAAAAGACAAAAAAATAAAACTATTTGAGATTGGATTCTCTTTCTGTTCTTTATCAGTTTGGGAATCATACTAATAAGAAAAAGTGAAAAATCTGAATGAGTGTTTCATTTTTTTAGTCCATTGTTTTCTTTAAAGTCATATATTGGTCCATGCATGCAAAATTGTTAACATTTTGGTCCCTTGTTATATCATGAACTAGGGTCTATCTAACATGGTGTTTCTAAGATAGACTTTAGTTCAAAATTTTTAGAAATGGTGTTTCTAATAGCTTCAGTTTTTTGGCAGAATCATATCATAAGCAATTTTAGTACAGTAGATGAAAAATGTAAATACATAAAAACTGAAAAACTGGCGCTATATAGAGTTGCTGTCCATATTTCTTTAAGTCAAATTTACTTACCAAGATTGACGGCCTACGTTGAATTTCTTGAAATGCCAGCCAAAATTCAGATATTTCAAAACAGAATCTTTTACTTTAATAATGGAAGTGCCTTTATTTCAAGTTCTCAACTGAAATCTACAGGCCGGGCAATAGATACCATCCACTCCCCATAACTCCAAGATTCTAATTTCAATGTATTGATTCATTAGTTATACACATATTGTTCCAGGCATAAACACGTATATATACGGACAGTTATGCTGTGGGCTCGTGCCCAGCGTGCTTCATGCGCACGGATAATGGTGCCGTTATCTTTCCTTTTTTTTTTTTTTTTTTTTTTTTTTTTAATTTAATTTCAGGCCGCTTCGTTATAGGAGCATATATTCACAGCTTTGTGTTCATAATTTCATAACTGTACATTCATAATTCCATAACTGTACATTCATAATTCCATAACTGTACATTCATAATTCCGTAACTGTACATTCATAATTCAATAACTGTAAATTCATAATTTTCGAAGCTCTATGTTCATAATTGTAAGTTCATAATGTCAGAGTTCTATGTTCATAATTTCATAACTGTACATTCATAATTCCATAACTGTACATTCGTAATTCCATAACTGTACATTCATAATTCCATACTGTATATTCATAATTCCATACCGAACATTCATAATTTTCGAAGCTCTATGTTCATAATTGTAAGTTCATAATTCCATAACTATACATTCATAATTCTATAACTATACATTCATAATGTCATAACTGTATATTCATAATTTCATAACGAATATGCCGTTAACGCCGTTAACGGCGTTTCGAACAATTTTTTTTTTTATAATTAAAACAGCGTCGTTTTCACGGAAAATGACGCCGTTTTAGCGCCGTGCGCACCTTGCAAGGTGCGCATAGCATAATTTGCCTATATATACGTGTGGTGGATATGATATGAGTTCTACTACATAGACTCTCAAAAATCTACTCCCTCATTTATACTCCTTGAGATGACAAATCAGGATTGATTATTTTCATCATGTGGGTCCACAGGAAAATGTCTATATCAAGAGCATGTGAGAGGGAGTACAAGTTGAGAGTTTAAAATAAGAGTACATCAAGTATTTTCCTATTGATATGATGTCTGGAGTAACGATACCAGATCTTTTGATAGTGGCCCAATCAAGATGACGAATTTTTCGACTTTTGTGCCCATATATGATCACAACTTTAGTTATAGGACTAGTAATTTTGTTATACCAGGTATTATCAATATATGTGTTAAATTTATATATGTATATTTAAAGGATTTTTGGAGTATTTTTGATGAAAATGGAATATGGGATGACTGATGAGAATGAGGCTACAAGGCGTGCTCATTTTGCAGCATCTGTTCATCAAACCATAATTATTATTTCTGTTTATGCAAGTAATGTTATGTACTGTCAGAAGCTTAAAATACAAGATTATATAAATATTAATCAAGTGTAATATAATGATTGACATTGCAACAAATCATAAAGCACACCCCCACGGCCCCACCCCACCCAAAACAGCTTTTTTGAATACCTTCTTTATCATATCTATTTTCGGAACAAAAATATTATTTGTATCAAAATTCAAAATTAAATATACGGAGTATATATGTCCTGTTTGGTAACATAGTTAGATTATCAGTTAATTTTAACTTATTTGATCACTATTAGATGTTTGACTTGGTCAAATTGTCAATATAATAAGTGTTTAATTAATTAATTTTTTGTAATAACTTAGTAATCTAACACGCTAAAATTCAAAACAAAACCGTTTTTACGAATAACTTTTTTAAAAAATCCTTTTACATGTAATCAACTATAAACTAATAACTAATTTACTAAATATCTTTTTACAATCAGCTAATGATATCAACTAACAGCTATTTACCAAACAACCTTTCTCTCTCTCTCTCTCTATATATATATATATATATATATATATATATATATATATATATATATATATTTAAATATCATAATATGTTATATTTATTAAGTACCTGTAAATTAATAAATTTTATTATGGAGTACAAATTAATCTTCAGGGTAAAGTAATGTCATTTACTATGGATATGCCGTAATTTCAAATGTAGCCTTTTTAATATTCTAAATGTCATCATTTGGGGAGGTGGCAAATGATTATTTGTCGGCGGAAACAAGTGTAGCCAATAAGCAGAGATAAATATAATTTGTCTTATGAAAAAAAAAAAAAAAAAAAAAAAAAAAAAAGAGAAGAGAAAAGTAACATGTTTGGCTGTTTGCATTTGGATCTTGTCTCTTTCATACCAATGTTTCTTTGGAATATTTGAGCACCGATTCGGTGAAAAAGACATTCCGCTGTAAACCCACTGTTTGAATTTAGATTAATTTTAGGGATAAAGTAAAAAGAAGTCATTGAACTATTTGACAAATAGTAAGGGGCTGTATTCAATCATGACTTTCATAAAGTTTTAAAGACTTTTATGAACTTTAAAAGTTTGAGGGTATTCAAATTTTTAAAGAGTCTTTAAAAGTCAGGCGGTATTCAATCAAGATTTTTAAAGAGTCTTTAAAAGTCGTGTGGTATTGAATTAAGACTTTTAGAGCATCTACATCAATGAATAATGGAGAGTTAATGTCAGAATAAATCACTTGGCTAGAGTTATTCACAAGTGTGGGATGTGGTTATTAGATGAAATAATCCTCCTGCAAATTACAAAATAATGTCAGAAAATAAAGGAAAAGAAAAAGTGAAAGAAAGAAACGTTGTGCGCGTTTCGCGCACAACGTGGCCATAAGTCGGGCGCGTACAGTGCACGCGCCCAGTCAGGCTGACTTACATATTTTATTTTATTTTTTGTTTTTTTTTTAATTAAGTTTTGTTTTATTTTATTTTTTTTTCTCTCCCCTCCCACCTTCTCTTTCCTAATCACTCTTACATTATCCCCACATTCTTCCCAACTAATGTGGATGCTCTTAGAGAGTCTTTAAAAGTTACGTGGTATTCAAAAAATTATGAACTTTTGTAGACTTTTTAATTTTAAGATTTTTGTAGACTTTTTCTTCTCAAATATAAATAGTTGAAATCCAACCATCAACCCCCGGATTTCAAAATTTTCTTTCTAACAACTTTGAATGTTTTCTCTCTCTATTTGAACTCTAATTTTCTCTCAATTTAAACTTTATAAACCTATATAAATTTAATAAAATTATTGTTTTTCTTCATTATCCTATATATTTTCCTTATACCTAAACTCTACCAATTTTTCTCTCTCTCCTAAACTTTACAATCTTCCTCTAAAAATTTGAAATAATATTATTTTTATTTCATTATTGCTTGTTTATATTGATTTTTATTTTTTTTATGAATTTTTTATCCCTAACTTTTTCTAATTCTCCCTAAATACATGAACAAAGCAAAATTTTCATCATCAAATTTTAGTATATGTTTCATAATATTCATATAAATACTTATATATTTTGATTTTTATTCTTTTTATGTTTATATTCGTAATATATATTTTTCCTTTTTTTTTTTTTAAAAACAAGTTACCATGAATAGCGAACTACTGTTCGCAACAATAATTTGGGGTTGCGAACAGTAACACCTTGTTGTTGTGGACAGTCTCAAATTGCTATTGCAAATAATAGTTCTTTGCGTGATGCCTAGCAATATATTAAGTATAATTATATATATATATATATATATATATATTATATTTTTTATTTTTATTTTATGCAACTTGTAATTATATTTTTAAATATTTTATTTGATCAATTCTTTTATTATAAATTTTATTATTCAATATTGTTATGAATTTCTAATGAAATAATTTTTTTTTGATGTTTATTAATAATATATATAAGTAATTAGCATATAAGTCTCAACATACTATGGATAAAAATAATAATGTTGAGAATGTTGATGTGGGTGAAGAACTACATAATAAGAAAATTTTATGATATATTATAAATGTTTTGTAATAAAATTATAAATGATAAGAATCAAAATCATTGAAAGTTTTTAAGGATGTATTCAATTTAGAATTAAATGACTTTTGTAGACTTTTTAAAATAAAGTCTATGAACAAAAACCTGAAGTTAACATGTTAAAAAGTTAATTACTCTTTTTCCCGGGTTCAGTTGGCTTATTTGGAGATTATTTGAGCTCGATAGTTTAATTGTTGTTTCTCAAATAGTTTAGTGGATTTATTTGTATTTTATCCCTTAATTTTATAGTAATAAAAATTAAAAATATCAATCGTTAACTTATAAAATATCACAGTTCTCAATTAATTTAACAAGAGGTTTCTAGTTTGAGTTCCGCATAATTAGTCACAGTCATCGTCAAAGGGGATGAAGAAATCCTTAACGACAGGTACTCATACGCCATATATGTGAGGTGGTTTCTTTGTACTTTTATCAGTTTGTTGGCAAGCGGATGGCCTACGAATCCTTTAATTTTTTTTTTTGTTAAAACGAATCCTTTAATTTGCTTCCTCCCGCTTGATGTTTTAGTATCTTTGTTTCATCGTTTAAGAGTTAAGACCTTAAATGAACCGCAAAATAAATTATTTGTACTTTAACAAATATGAGAAAATATTTAATATATATATATT